ATTAAGGGCCTGAGGGCCCCCGCCCCTTGCCTCTTCCCCCCCCTCCCCCCCCCAGTCGGAGTCTCACTCTGTCACCCAGGCTGGAGTTCAGTGGCAGGCTCACACGATCCTTCTGCCTCAGCCTTCCAAGAAGCTGGAACCACAGGCGCACACCACACTCAGCTAATTTTTTGATTTATCGTAGAGACAGGTCTTGCCAAGTTGGCCTGGCTGGTCTCGAACCCGTGCTCAGGCAATCCTCTTGCCACCGCACCCGGTTTTTTCCCCTCATCTTAACTCGAGCATTCATTTTGCTGATTTCAAATTCTTTAAACAGTTTAACTCTTTCTACCAATTGCCAATCAGAAAATCTTGAAGCTACCTATGGCCCGTAAGCCCGCCCCCTCCTTGGAAATGTCCCGCCTTTCAGGGCCCAACCAGGGTAAACTTCACACGTATTGGTTTGTTTTGCCCGTTACTTCTGTCTCCCGAAAAGTGTATAAAGCCAAGCTGTAATTCAATCACTTGAGGCACATGTTCTCAAGCCCTCTTGAGACATGTCACGGGCCTACCTCACAAACATTTGGCTCAAAATAAATCTCTTTAAATACTTTATAGAACTTGCTTTTTTCCGTCAACAGTACTGACGCAAAAACAAACGAAAGATGACAGAAACTCAAAACAGCATGAATGGAATTCACCCTGAAAGATAACTCCCTAGAGGGAGTCTGTTGACAAGGTTAGAAAAGTAGGACACCGTATGGATAACGTGTTAACTCCGTCCTTATGACTGACCAACTCCACGGGGGCCCACGACGCTTGGCTCCAATTCACAGAGCCACCATCTTTGATCCCCACCCCAGTGGGTTCCTTGGGGATCCAACGTCTCTCGGTGTCTTCATACCTAAACTCAGGGCGAGACGCCAGGTAAGGATGTGTATTACAATCCGAGAAGCAAACTTCCACGTCACCTCCGCCCAGTCGCACCCAAGGCATGCCCCTCTGGCTCTCCGGGGGATCCAAGATGGCACCTGGGGAGCCGTGGGCGAGGCCCCCAGAACTCACCTACTTTGAGTCCCCGCGCGCGCCACCAGTAACGGTCGAAACCCGGGAGGTGCGAGTGCATGTACCGGAAGGGAACCGACTCGCTGATTGGCTACTGCCGCTGTCTCTCACAGCCTGCTGATTGACAAAGCCCTCAGAGCGGAGACACACGCAAAACCCCGCCCCCACCGGCCCCACCCCCTAACAGCGGAAAGGGGCAGCGTCTTCAGTGAAAAGTGCACTTGGATTGGGCAGCTCCAAGAGACAACCTACTCCCGCCTCTCCGCCCACCATCCACTTCCCGCGCAGATTTCCAAACCGCGATCAGAGAGTTTGGCGCCAGCTGCCGGCAGCGGATAGAAGGGCTGTACCATAGATGTTGTCCGATGCGTCTGGTGCGCCCAGAGCGCCCTTTTCGGTCCTCCGAGGCATGGTGTCCGCTGACTCAGGAGAATTGAAAGTGGGTTGCGGGTTGCAGTCGTGGCTGGAGGCTGCAGTTGGAGAATAGCCCGTAGGCGTGGCGCTTGAGGATCCCTTATTGCAATGGAATTTCATTTCCTTTTGATTTGTCTTGTTTAGTGGAACTCATGTCATTTCTTCCTGGGAATACATCTCTGACGGACATTTTGAGGTTATTTTTCTAAATGCAAGATCCTAGAGAAATGATCTATAGGCGAACAGAGAAGTTTTTGCTGTCTTAAAGGCTGTTCTCCCGTTTCAAGGGACGAGAGGATGATAAAATCATTTATATCATTAGCTTAAGACAATGAGAGCAATAACAGTATGACGTTTGTATAATTTAGTAAGTTCTTTTCATTCGTTATCTCAATTCTTTCCACAACAATCAAATAGGCATAAGCAAATTTTACAAACGAGGGAGTTGAAGCTCTGCTGTTAAATGACCTGCCTAGGATCCTACAGCTAATGAAGGTATTGACAAACCGAAACAAGTTTTCTGGCCAGTGCGGTGGTTCACACTTGTTACCAAACACTTTGGGAGGCCGAGGCAGGAGTTCAAGACCAACCTGGGCAATATAGTGAGACCTTGTCTCTACAAAAGAAAGCAAAAAGTTAGCTCAGCATTGTGGCATGCGCCTGTAGTCCCAGCTACCCGGGAGGCTGAGGCAGGATCCTTTGAACCCAGGTGTCCCAGATGTAGTGAGCCGTGATCATGCCACTGCACTCCAGTCTGGGTGACAGAATGAGACCCTGACTTAAAAAACAAAAAAATTCTCGAATTCTATATTCAGAGCACTTTCCACTACCACAAAATAATTACTTACATTTTGATCATGCCCTAAAACAAAATATTAAATTTTGTTTTATTTTTTTATTATTATTATTATTTGAGTTGGAGTCTCACTGCTGCCCAGACTGGAGTGCAGTGGCCGATCCTGGCCACCACAGCCTCGACCTGCTGGGCTCTGGCGATCCTTCCGCCTCAGCCTTCCAAGTAGCTGGAACTACAGGCATGCACTACCACGCCCAGCTAAGTTTTTGATTTATTGTAGAGATGAGGTCTCGCCTGCCCAGGCGGGTCTCGAATCCGCGGGCTCAGGCAATCCACTCACCTCAGCCTCCCAAAAGCGCGGGATTATAGACTGAGCCACCGAGCCCAGCAAAATATTAAATTTTAAGTGGGTAGAGAGGGTTTACACAACTTGATGTTCCTTTGTTTATACAATGACTTAGAAATACATGTTGATCTGTATGTGATCAAATGTGAATTAACAATGACCTTGGCCGGGCTCCCGCGCTTTGGGAGGCCCAAGTGAGTGGATTGCCTGAGCCTGCGGGTTCGAGACCCGCCTGGGCAACTTGGTGAGCCCTCATCTCTACAATAAAAATAAAAAAATTAGCCGGGTGTGGTAGCACGCGCCTGTAGTTCCAGCTACTTGGAAGACTGAGGCGGAAGGATCGCCGGAGCCCAGCAGGTCGAGGCTGTGGTGGCTGGGAGCGACCACTGCACTCCAGTTTGGGCGACAGAACGTGACTCCAACTCAAAAAAAAACAATGACCTTGATTTGATACCACATGTCCCCTGTTACAGTGCTTGCCACACTTATTATTCACTTCTCACCAAACTGCCACATCTTGGAGGACAGGGAGCTAACTCTTGATTATTTTTGTATCTTTGGTTTCTGGTTAGGTGGATACTTATTATCTATCTAAAGAGTAAATGAATCCCTAGGAAGAATCAGATGAATCCTGAATTTAGCCCATCCAATTTCTCCTCATCAGTTTCTTTCTTTCTTTTTTTGGAGTCAAATTCTCACTCTGTTGCCCAGGCTGGAGTGCAGTGGCACGCTCAAGGCCAACGTGGCCTTGACCTGCTGAACTCAGGCAATCCTGCGTTAGCCTCCCAAGTAGCTGGAACTACAAGTGCACACTACCACGGCTGTCTTATTTTTTTATTTTATTGTAGAGATGAGGTCTCACCAAGTTGCCTAGGCTGGTCACGAACTCCTGAGCTCAGGCAATCCTCTCACCTCGGCCTTCCAAAATGCTGGGATTACAGGCTTCAAGCCACCCTGCCCAGCATCCCCCCATCAATTTCATCTCCTCTTTTTCCGTCCTGGGGCTTCTGAAGGGTTGCAATGGTGGCCACCTAGTCAGTGAAAACCACTGACATCATCAAAGTGTCTAGAGAGGCGGCCTGGAAGGACTGAAAATCAGGTATGTATCTCGTCCTACAGTCCATGGCCCTGATTAGTCGATGCCAGTCAATTACCAGACGTCCACTGGTCTTTGGCAAGATGAGCAAGGTGTCTTCAAACTCTGCCCTAAGGCCCAGAACCCCTACATGGATGGAGATTTCTGGCTTCATAAATAGCAGATATAAGTTTCTCTAAACGATTCTTATTCTTGAACATAACCTCCAGACAATATCTCTGTCCTAAAACCTTTCCTGCAATTTTGCTCCTCTTTCGAAACGTTATCATTCAAAAATTCCCAAGAAAATAGCAGGAGATCAATTCCTTCCTTTCTGAGGTATATGGGGGAGAGCGGGTTACTAAAGTTCATGCCTTAGGTCACCAAGGACCAGATGTTAGGTAGTAAGTCAAGGAGCCACACTTCTCCCCCATTTTCGCTGAGTTAAGCCCTGTCCTTCCTAGAGCTGCTGCAGCCAGGAGCTTCTAGGGCGTGCCTACCCTACCATCCAACTTTTGGAGCCCCAGACTTCCCAATTCCTGTATCCCGAAATCTGTTCCCTTTTTGAACAAAAAGCTTAGATATAGAAGAAAGGAATCTTGGGCAAAATCGCTTTTCATTTACCAAAAAACCCCGACACAAAAAAACCCGGTACCCACCCATCCGTCACTTCATTTTGCAGCGTGGACAACAATGGAGGACTACAACTCCCAGAGAGGACTGCGCTCGCCCGCGGGCGCAAAGACCAATGGACGTCCGGTACATGACCGGCATCGACTAATCAGAACCAGACTCGATGAGGCTTTGTCTCCCGACCGCGCGCGGGGCGGAATCTCCCGCCTCCCAGCTCGCGCGCACGCGCGCCCCGCCCTGCCTTCCTTCCCTCCCGCGCCCTCCCCTCTCCTTTCTCCCTCTCAGAACCTTCCTGCCGCTGCGTTCGGACCTCGCTGCTCCAGCCTCTGGAGCACATTCCATTCTTTCAGTCTGCGACCTGCAGAGGAAAAATAAAATTACGTATTTTCTTGCCCTGTACATACCTTGAGGCGAGCCATAAAATTAAAGTAAATCTTAACCATGAGGGAAATCGTGCATATCCAGGCCGGTCAGTGTGGCAACCAGATCGGTGCAAAGGTAAGAAATTTAAACCTTTCTTTGAACTGTTTCTTTTTAGAAGGAAAAAAATCCAGATAGGTTTTGAAAAATGGGTTGTGGGGCGATTGCACCCTATCCTTAATCAAGCTTCGTCCTCCCCGGTTTTTTTTTTTTTTTAATATGATACAACTGTAACTAGCATTTCCTTTGGAAAACGGGGAATTTTCGGGGGTTGGGGGCAGGCACACTTTGGAGAAACTATTAAAAGACCCTTCGGGTTTCGGGGGCGGGAAGGCTGAGGGATCTGTAAGATTTTACTTAAAGGGGATCTTCTAACGGTCTGAGAACCGGGCGGGGAGAGAGATGCGGAAACCGCCCGAGACAAAGCGAGGGCAGGTTTTGGCCATGTGCATCCCACCCAGCAATCGCCGCGAGGGTTCGCAGGGCTAAATCGGAGGGGAAAGGGGCGAGATTGGGCAGGCATTGGCGGAGACCTCCTAGGCGAAATGGGAGACGCGATGCGCCCGGGTGGGCTGCATGCGCTTTCAGCTTCACAAAAGATCGGGGACTTGAGCGCCCGCGAATCCCGAGGGGCGGTCCTGTAGTTTTTCGTGGGTGGGAAGATAATATGTTCGGGATTAATTTTACTTGGTTTAACTGCCCCAAGAGCTTTTTAGGGCGTGAACGAATATGGAGAAAGGAGAGAGGAAAGGGGGATGTGCTTTTCTTAATTCCCTCAGGACTAAAGGGGGAAGAACACTTAAATCAAGGAGGGGAAATCTAGCGAAGAAATAAAATTCAGAAACCAAAAAGGTTTTTTTTTTTTTTTTTTTTTTTTTTTTTTGCGCGCGGTTACAGAGTAGCGGGGGAGGGGCGGGGAGGAAGTGCGGCTGCTACGTTGTAGCAAAAGGGCGGGGCCCGGGGCCACTGGCGCGCAGGGACAATGCGGCCCTGCCCGCCGGCGCGGGCGCGCTACCTTGGGCCCCGCCCCCCGCCGGCGGTATTTCAGCCCCTGGCCCCGCCCGCTCGCGACGCCCTCTTTTGTTGGCTGCTAGACGCGCGTGCGCAGCAGTCACGTGGAGGGAGGGAGGGAGGTGGTCGACTGCGGCTGCAGCTTATTTCTCGGACCCCTCCCCCCGGCCTTTTGTGCTCGGTGGCGTGGGGCGGTGCCCAGCTGGGGACGGGGAGGCGTGGTTATCCAAGTCTGATCCACCTCAGTCCACTCAACCCAAGAGCTTGCGGACCCCCGACCTTCCCAGCTGCACATTATCCCATTTCAAGGAAGGAAAGCTGAGGCTTTCCCGGGTGTGCGAGTGTCCAGAGAAGGGTGTGGCAAGCAGACACGGGATGCCAGAACCCAGAAGGGGGCCTGCCATGAGTGCTTCTGGAATCAAAATGGGAGGAAAGGGGGGAATATTGGTTGGGACTTGAGGTGTTGAGGGCTCAATGCTTTACCCCCGCAGTTCTGGGAGGTGATCAGTGATGAACATGGCATCGACCCCACCGGTACCTACCACGGGGACAGCGACCTGCAGTTGGACCGTATATCCGTGTACTACAATGAAGCCACAGGTGAGGGTCAGAGTCTGGGAAACTCGAGTCCCCTTACCTCCTTCCCACTTTTTTGCGTTCCCTCTTTCCATTCTCGGGGACCCCCCCCCCTTACCCTTTGGGCGAATCGTTTCCCTTTGGTGGTCTACCATCTGGGCCAGAGACTGGCTCTGCTGCCACCTGGTGGCAGGGCCTGGGATGACAAATTTGCGTTCCCGGCTGTCTTCCATTTCCAACATATTTATCATCTTCTCTAGCTGCTCTCCTCTTTTTTTTTTTTTCACTCCTCTACTTTATTTCCTATAGGTGGCAAATACGTTCCCCGTGCTATACTAGTGGATCTAGAACCTGGGACCATGGACTCTGTTCGCTCTGGTCCTTTTGGGCAAATCTTCAGACCAGACAATTTTGTTTTTGGTGAGTTATACAGCTGATATTAGGACATATACTGTCATATTCAGCATATTTGGGTGTAAAGAGCAAGAGTTAGAATATGATTGTTGTACTGGAGTGCTTATTCAACCACGTGGTCTGAAATCTTTATTGGAGGGTGGGGGTGGTGACTGCTCTAGTTGGTAAAGTATGGGGGAAGTAGAAGGAGAATATATCACAGGTGAATGAGGAAGAAGATATGTCCAAGGGAGTTACTTCACAAGTTGAAAGGTAGAAGCATTGTGTCTTCCATACTCTACTAACTAAACTTTTTTCCTGATCCCATTCTAGGTCAGTCTGGGGCGGGCAACAACTGGGCAAAGGGCCACTATACAGAGGGGGCTGAGTTGGTTGATTCTGTCCTGGATGTGGTACGCAAAGAGGCTGAGAGCTGTGACTGCCTGCAGGGCTTCCAGCTGACCCACTCGCTGGGCGGGGGCACAGGCTCTGGAATGGGCACCCTCCTCATCAGCAAGATTCGAGAAGAGTATCCTGACCGCATCATGAACACCTTCAGTGTGGTGCCCTCACCCAAAGTGTCAGACACTGTGGTTGAGCCCTACAATGCTACCCTCTCTGTCCATCAGTTGGTAGAGAACACTGATGAGACCTACTGCATTGACAACGAGGCCCTCTACGATATCTGCTTCCGCACCCTCAAGTTGACCACACCAACCTACGGGGATCTAAACCACCTCGTCTCAGCCACCATGAGCGGTGTCACCACCTGCCTCCGCTTCCCTGGCCAGCTCAATGCTGACCTCCGCAAGCTGGCAGTCAACATGGTGCCCTTCCCACGTCTCCACTTCTTCATGCCTGGCTTTGCCCCTCTCACCAGCCGTGGAAGCCAGCAGTATCGGGCTCTCACAGTCCCTGAACTCACCCAGCAGGTCTTCGATGCCAAGAACATGATGGCTGCCTGTGACCCCCGCCATGGCCGGTACCTCACCGTGGCTGCTGTGTTTCGCGGACGGATGTCCATGAAGGAGGTAGATGAGCAGATGCTCAACGTGCAGAACAAGAATAGCAGCTACTTTGTGGAATGGATCCCCAACAATGTCAAGACAGCTGTATGCGATATCCCGCCTCGTGGCCTCAAGATGGCAGTCACCTTCATCGGCAACAGCACAGCCATCCAGGAGCTCTTCAAGCGTATCTCCGAGCAGTTCACTGCAATGTTCCGCCGGAAGGCCTTCCTCCACTGGTACACAGGTGAGGGCATGGACGAGATGGAGTTCACTGAGGCTGAGAGCAACATGAACGACCTCGTCTCTGAGTATCAGCAGTACCAGGATGCCACCGCAGAAGAAGAGGAAGATTTCGGTGAGGAGGCCGAAGAGGAGGCCTAAGGCAGAGCCCCCATCACCTCAGGCTTCTCAGTTCCCTTAGCCTTCTCCTCATCTGCCCCTTTCCTCTCCCTCAGAATTTGTGTTTGCTGCCTCTTTTTTTTTTCCCCTTGGGGGGGGTCTAGAACAGTGCCTGGCCACATAATAGGCGCTCAATAAATATTTGTTTGTTGAATGTCTCCTCTCTCTTTCCACTTTGGGAAATCTAGATTTCTGCCATTCTCGGTAACCTTGTATTTCCTTCTGGTGCCTACTCTCATCTGTCCAGTTAACATTTTCCCATTTCAGAAATAATTCTCCAAGAAGTTGGGTCTCATCCAAATCCCATTTAAAACTACTCCGTTACCAAAAACCCCGATAATGGCCACCATCCTAAGCCCAAGAGCAGCAAAGGTGTGGAAAGCAAAAGGTAGGTAGAAGTAACTATAAGGAATGAGATGAAATCTTCCATTCTAGGACGGTTTGGGAGAGGGAAATCCAGGCTATTCAAGTTATATTATACAGATATTTTTATGTTCCATTCCTCAGCTTCAAGGGAGGTGTTACCAAGTATTATCTCCATTTTCAGTCTTCCTCCAAACTGTCCTGAGGAGGGGTCTGCATCACTCTTTGAAGAAAGCCAAGATCCTTCTCTCACATATTAGAATTTCTCTTTTGCCTTGGTTGGAGAGAAGGGTTGATTAAGAGGGACCACCCTTGGTTCCTGAGCCCCCAAAAATGCCCTCCCCATTGCCAGTTTCTTACTCCCCAAAATGAGTAACATCATTGACCTAATGTGGAAAGGTGATGCTGCCACTTGAATGTTAGTCATTCTCCAGAGGAGAGAGGACAAGACACCCTCCACCTTTTTTGCAAATCTCCCCTCTCTTGCTGTTGCCTTCCCCCCACCCACCCTTGGTTTTGTCCCTTCCTACACTTCAGATTTCTATTTTGTGTTGAACTTGCTTTTTTTCATATTGAAAAGATGACATTGCCCCAAGAGCCAAAAATAAATGGGAATTGAAAAAGTTGTGAGATGTGTGCTTATTTAGGGAAGGATTGCTGGTGGAGGGGCCTAAATTAAGTTACACTTTGCTGTAAATCAAGGACAATATCACAGTACAGTCAGCTCTCTGTATCCATGTGTTCAGCATCCACAGATTCAGCCAACCTGATATTTGGGAAAATGATTGTGCTGAACATGTATAGACCTCTTGTCATTCCCTAAATATAGTGTAGCTACACAGAATTAAGTATAAGTAATCTTATGATAGGTTATACAGGAGACTGTACATAGGTTATGTGTAAATATTGGGCTATTTTATATTAGGGACTTGAACATCTGATGATAGCATCTGAAGGAGGTCCTAGGGCCCATTCCTCATGGATGCTGGGATACAAGTTAATTGACTCATCTTTTTGAGTTAGACTCTCACATTGTCACCCAGACTGGAGTGCAATGGCATGCTCCTGGCCACCGCAGCCTCTACCTGCTGGGCTCCGCTGATACTTCCACCTCAGCCTTCCAAGTAGCCAGAATTACAGATGTGCACTATCACGCTCAGCTAGTTTTTTTGGTTTATTGTAGAGATGAGGTCTTGTCAGGTTGCCCGGTGGGCCTCGAACCTGCGGGCTCCCAAAGTGCTGGGATTACAGGCTGAGCCACTGAGCCCGGCCAATTGACTCTTCTTAATCTCTGGTATCCAAACCATTCAACCACAGTACCAGTCAGTCTCAGTAACTGGGAAAGGCACAGGCTCAGATGTAGGATCTAGAGATGGAAAATGGAACTGGTTCCCAGACCAGCATTGGCACACCCCTGGGAACATGCAGAAATGCACATTTTCAGGCTTACCTAGTTGTGCTGAACCAGAAATGGTTGGACTCCAGTAGTCTTCGTGCTCTAAGAGATTATGCAAATGCAGTTAAAAACCACTGCTGCACCATTTCCAATGAGATGGCCCATTCAGGATTATGGGTTATGGGTACCTATGGTTGGTAACTGGTCATATGGGTTTTCCTGGTCAGCCTGGGGAGTGCTGCTTCTTGGTTCCATTCTAAAATAAGTCTATACTCCAATAGTGCATGATTCTATGTGCACAAAATAAGTCTCAAAGCTACCTTGGAAACAATTCTGTATTGACCTTAGCCATATTTTCAGTAATTCTAGGAACTCTAGTCGTAACATTCCTTTATTTTGGCATGCTTTTCTGATGATTACCGTCTTGGGGAAAAAAGTAACTAAGCAGTATATAAGTAATGGTTTTTCCCATTCTAGAAAGTCTTGTATGCAAGGGAGCAAGCTATGGTCTAGTATTTATTTTGAATTGAGTCTTTTATTATTCACAAGTATCAGTACTTACAGCAAGAATCTCTGGACCATCTCTCAGTCTTGATCAGAACAGAATTCTAGACAAGTTCAGACAGTCTAGTTTAATGAAGTTAAATAAATTGGGATGAGGTGGAGTGGGATCACCAGAAGGCTGACATAGGACCCTGGCACTGGCAATCGTGGCAGTGTGGGGTCAGGAAGGGGAGCAACCCCCTTCAAGGCAAGGCACAGACTATTTGGCAAGGAGAGATGAGGGGTAGAACCCCGCTGTCAAAGGACATGCTCAGGGAGGCCAGCTGGGGTGCATGCAAGAAGAGACCACTCGGGCAACTTGAGCCATGAGGTTAGGTATCCATGAGGGCTGAGGGCTCAGGCTGTTCGCAAAGGCTTGTGGTTCACCTGGCAAAAAGACAACAGTGCATGACACTTGGGAACCAGGCACCCTGCTCTCTCAGGTCCCTATTTAGATGAATGGGCTGTAGGGAGGAGTGTTCTTTCTGGTGTCCTAGCTCAGGCCAGTTCCCCAAAGACATCAGGATCCATCACAGAAGAGGATAGAGGGAGCCAGAACCTTGCTTGCACAGACTCTGCTTAGCTCTGAATCTTCTACTGCAGGCCTCAAGGAGACTCCAAGGAACCTAGCTTAAAAGTCACTGGTCTGATTCAGTGCTTTTATTTTTTTAATTTCTTACTTATTATCTTTATTATTTTTCATTGAGATGAGGTCTTGCTATGTTGCCCAGGCTATGTTGCCACTTGGCCTCCCAAAGTGTTGGGATTGCAGGCATGAGTCATCATGCCTGGCCCAGTGTTTTTATTTACATATGCATTTATTTATTCTTTTCTTCATCTTTTTTTTTTTTTTTTTTGAGTCGAGGTCTCACGCTGTTGCCTAGGCTGGAGTGCAGTGGCATGATCATGACAATTATGGCTCACAGCAGCCTCAATTTCCTGGGCCCAGGCAATCCTTCCACCTCAGCATCCCAAGTAGCTGGGACTACAGGAGCATGCCACCATCTCAGCTAATTAAAACATTTTTTTCTGTAGTGACAAGGTTTTGCCATGTTGCCTAAGCAGGTCTCAAACTCCTGGGATCAAGCAATCTGCCCATCTCATCTTCCCAAAGTGCTGAGATTACAGGCATGAGCCACTGCACCTGGCTTAAATATGTTATGTATTTATTTGGAGTCGGAGTCTCACTCTGTTGCCCTGGCTGGAGTACAGTGGCATGCTCATGGTCACTGCATCCTCCACCTGCTGGGCTCAGGCGATCCTTCCGTTTCAGGCTTCCAAGTAGCTGGAGCCACAGGCATATGCTATAACACCCAGCTAATTTTTTTTTTTACATATTTTATTTTATTTATCTTATTTTTTATTCTTTTTGAGTTGGAGTCTCACTCTGTCACCCAGACTGGAGTGCAGTGGCCGCTTCCGGTCACCGCAGCCTCGACCTGCTGGGCTCCGGTGATCCTTCCGCCTCAGCCTTCCGAGTAGCCGGAATTACAGGCATGCGCTCCCACGCCCGGCTGATTTTTTGATTTATTGTAGAGATGAGGTCTCGCTGCCCAGGAGGGTCTCGAACCCGCAGGCTCACGCAATCCACTCACCTCAGCCTCCCAAAGGCGTGGGATTACAGGCTGAGCCACCGAGCCCAGCTAATTTTTTTGACTTACTATAGAAATGAGGTTTCACCATGTTGCCCAGACTAGTTGCAAACCCCTGGGCTCAGGCGATCCTCTTGCCTCTGCCTCCCAAAGTGCTGGGGTTACAAGTGTGAGCCACTGCACCCAGGCCTAAATATGTATTTAACATATACAATGCTCACTACGTGCCAAGCACTGTTCTAGACACTACAGCCAGGCACGGTGACTCAAGCCTGTAATCCCAGCACTCTGGGAGACCAAGGGGAGAGGACTGCCTGAGCCCAGGGGTTTGAGACCAGCCTGAGCAACTTGGCAAGACCTTGTCTCTATAATAAATAAAAAAATTAGCTGGGCGTGGTAGCACGCCCGGTGAGGTGGAGGGATCACCTGAGTGCAGTGGCCGCTCCCAGCCACCACAGCCTCGACCTGCTGGGCTCCAGTGATCCT